ATTGTGCTAGGTGCTGCACAAACACAGAATGAAAAGAGAGTCCATGCATCATAGATCTTACCATCTTAGTACAAAATGAGACAACAGAGGGATACAGACAGAGTGACAGAACCTTTGCTTTATATAACCATTGAGAGGAAACCACACTTGCTGTGCAAAAAAGGAGACTATACACAATGTAAAACTAAAAATGACTTAAAAAGTGCTGTGGTAAAGGAAAGAGTTGGATGGAATACCCTTAAATACATTTGTCCTGTAAGTCCACTCAAGGTTTTATGCTCTGTATAAGAACTAGTATTTTATATTTTCATAAAATTCTGTAAATATTTCTATAGAACAGGGTTTGTTTGGGATTTTAAAAATAGAAAAAAATGCAGATGAACATATAACGAGAGATGAATTCTATACTAGTGCTTAACATCCTTCAGGCATTTCCTGCCTCTTATACTATTGGAGCAAAGGATCTGAAGCTGTTATACCAATGTATTTTAAGAAGATGCCATTTTCCATTAAATCACCTCTTCTCCTAAACATGGAATAAGAACTTTGCACATTGCCATATCTGATGCAATGAGTCTGTAGAACATCAAGAGCTTTAGGCAGGGTCCCTAGCACCTGCTGACAACATGGATCAACAGATACTCTCCCACCTTGTTACAGATGTCTTGTGTTGATGTGAATAGCCAAAAGGGTAAATGGTTATCATATGATAGTCACCTAGTTTAAAAAAACTGTCCTCACAGTCTTTAAAATAGCCTGGATCCTTCAGGATAAAGGGCATCAGCTAGTATAGAGAAAGCAAACCAAAATATGCTGAGAAGATGACTATAGAATACAATGAAAGAGATCATGAGCAATTGGTTCTACAGAGGCCTGGTGCTCTATGAAAAACATAAACTATCTAAAGCAAGTTGGTTGTGGAATAATAAAATTCCCTGTATATATTACAATTCTTAGGACCTTGGTATAAATAATGGAATGATCTCTGAACATCACTATGCCTTGTTCATACATTTTGCCATTCATTTTCAAGAAAGCAAACACTATTTCGCTCTTCAGCTGAGACTTCCAGAGAGTAAATGGTGCTCTCATCACATTTACAATAAAAGTCCATAGAACCGTGCAGTTTATCTGTGATACCCAAAGGGTTGGGTCTTCGATACAGTGAGAGCAAGTGTCTGGTGTAGAAGTGATGTAGTAACACTCAGCAAACAAGAGAGACATTATAGTAGGGCACTATCAACATCCTCACTCTGAACTGGGAAGAGAGTGTTCATTTCATCTGCTAATTCCAATGTGCTTCCAGAGTACCCATGCATATCTCTCATGCAAGGAAAAGCAATTTGAGAACTGCTACTTATAAATAGTACAGTTGCTCATTTAAAGTTAGGCACATGTGCACAGATTCAGTTGTACCATTTACTGAAACCTCTTAAGCTGCAGAGCAAAAACACATATTGCTAACCCAATGGAAATAAGTAAGAAAAAGAATATACATTCTGCTTGGACTCTTGGGCATGGGTTTCATCTGACTACACTGGCACAAATTGTGCAAAGGCATCTCTCCTCTGTAACATGTGAATAATGGAAAGTGTTTTTAGATATTAGGGGTCTTTTATGTTGGGGGACATGATTGTGTAAAAGCTACTGTTCTGGTGTGAACTGGCCTTTTTGGGGCTGGACTAGCTTCTACTTATTCAAGCAAGGAATGTCTACCATATATCTGTAACCCCGGTGCCCTAGAATATGGGGTAAGGTTTGGCTCTTAAAGCCAGTGCAGTGTTGGGGAGAGGAGTATAGGGAGAGAATGGACTGGTGATCAGTTTGTACCACATTATGCCTTTTTATCACAGGGAGGTATAATGCCTCCAGAAAAGATGAAGGAGGCAAACTCCACCATGGTTCTTGGGACCCCTGGGTAAAAGGTACACCCCTTCTCTCCGGTGATGGCCTTTAAGTTACCAGCCATTTTGTATGCAGAGTGGGGCCCTGACTATGCCCCCACCCACACTGACATGCTCCTTTTGGATGGGTGTGCACCACCCTAGTGTTCCCTTTGCACTTCTGGGACCACCTCCTTTGGGTGTGCTAGCAGGGAGGGCTTATCTCTCCTGGGTGATTATAGCCTTTTTCTTTTCATTCCTGGGCAAATTTGGCTTCTGATCCAACCCAGAGTTAGTTGCTCCAACAAGCATCTCTCAGTTTCTCAGACATTTTTGCATGTACTAATGTGCTACCCATCACCATAGTATCTGCCCACCAAGTGCCAGCTCCCATGCCAACAGTTTCCAAACAGTGGTCTATGGAGCACTTGCTGGTGCTCTGTGGAGAGATGGCACAGGGGCTTCTTGTTTTATGCTGAGAAGACCAGAACAGATGTGAGGGGAGAGTAAATGACGAGCAAAGGGAGACAGCATGATTAATTTTTTTAATAGGATAAAACACAATGCTTTAAAGACAACTAAAATACATAATTTTCCTAATGGAAATGAGTAAGCAACTACTGCAGTCGCTACAAAGATGTGAAGGGATTGTAAATGCAGGGCAAGGTGGTGTCACCATGCCTGCACACAGAGAGGGGGGATGGTCCTTGACACCCTATATCTACTAAGAGGAGGTGCATGCGATGGCAAAACTTGGGATCTGCTGTCCTAGCACCTACTCTGAGATTTAACTCTTGAGGGCACTCCTAGTTCATTAACCAAACCTGATTCCTGCTCAGGCCAGCATTCATGCAAAACTGACCATCAAAAGTTTCCAAGGAAACACCTCCTGAAAAACAACTTATCCTTAATGTGTCAAGAAATACCAACATTTAAGAAGCCAGTGAATCTGTGATTAAAAATGACTGACTATAGCATCAATCTCTGTGACAGTAGAGGACTATCCAGTAACTACCAGTAGTATAAAACACACATGGGCAGTATCAATTGATCACTCAAAGCCTCCTGGAGCATAACCAGATAGAATAGCAGCAGGAAAATCCAAATCAGCAATGTGGCAATATAATTTATGTTGGCTCAGATTACATCAGTTGATCACTCTCTGGCATATAAGTGTCAGTCAAAGGAGACATGGTAGATTCCTGAACCCCATTTCATACTTTTCCTTGCACCAGGTGTAATTATTTACATCAGTGCAAAGGGGTATTTGGTAGTATTTTAATCTACTTTGATGCTGGTGTAAGGGGCTAAACAGGGTGCAAAGCAATGCTGAATCAGGGCACTGACCCTTAAATCATAATTAGGAGAAAAACATATGCTGATGTGCATAAAGAATAAGGTAAGATCAAAGAACAAAGCAATTGAGCTTTGATCAAAATGCTGCTCAGAGAAACCTTGCCTGACCCATACTCCTTTGGAATATGCAGTTCCATCAAAATCAAAACATTTCACAAAATCAGATCAACTTTGCTGGAATTCAACTTGGAAGGGAAAATGGAGGGGAGAAGTTCCAACTATGTCCAGCTGTCCCATTTTGAGATTGTAGGAACAAACATTTCAATTTCTTGTTCTGAAACTTTTTTTTTAATTTTTCATTATAGCGTATAATATGAACTATAAAAAGTTGAAATCAAACTGAAATAGGTTGTGTGACCCAAAATGAACATTTCTTTTCAGAATTTTACTTCATGGAAAATTTTGAAATTCTCAGTTTTTATTTCAGTTTAGAATGAGGCCAGATTCAGAAATCTTGAAATCCTTTGCGAAATGGAACTTCCATCCTTCACACAGCTCTGATAAACATCTTTAGAAAGGCAGGCAGAGGGGGGCTGACCTAGCTTTCCAAATACTAGAGCATGGCGTTCAGATATGTGAAACTGCAAGGGACTGAGAGCAGGGGTGAAATCCTGGCCCCACTGAAGTAAATGGCAAAACTACCACTGTCTTCAGTGGCACTAAGATTTCAAACCCATAGTGAATTCAATGCTTTTTCTCCTCTTCCATCTCCTTCCCTCTTTGGTATACTCTTCCTCGGACACTTCTCTACTAATCATTCTGTTTTCAAGCTAAATTCCTCTTCCTTTTGTTTCCTCCCACTTACAAACTATTGTTTGTCCTCCTTTAAAAACTCTTCCTCTACTTTAATTCTTAGCTTCTAATAGTGCTTCCTTCCTCTTTCAAACATCTTCCCCTGCCTTTCTCTATCTCCCCATCTGTTTTCCCTCTACTTCCCTGTCCTTCTGTTTTTCCTTGCTTTCCTTCCTCCACAATCTGCAAACCGGCTGTAGGTTTTATTGGTGCAAATTAGTGACCACAACATGCATTTGATTGTTTAGAACTGAGCAGCAAACTTATATTCAATGTATTTGACATATTTCACCTCTTTCTGTAGTGGCAAATTGTCCACAGTTTTTAATTTTCTATATTCAAAAATATTCACAAATAATTTTTGTGATCTAAATACTGTTAATTGTGACTATTCAAGAACTGAAATTCAAGCTGTGTTGCTTAGTTTTGAATTAATACATAAGTCACGTGGTATTGTTTCAGTTAGCAGACTGGACAAATGGAACTCTTAAAATTAGGCTTCGATTGCAAATTTACAGTATCATTCTTTTTCCAGGTAAAACTCACCCCCAAAGTGAATTTAAGTAGCCATCTTCGGAGGGGTGAAGTCCCCCCAAGAAGCAGTTGAAATTTGTACAGAAAATATATTTATCTTTTTTCTAATGCTTCATTAACAATAGACTAATAAAAATTGCTTTATATTTGTCTCAATTAATGTTCTGATCCAGTGCTTTCATTCTGTGTCTTTCTACATGAGTAAATGAAAATGATTAAACTCAATCCCACATATTCACTCTGAAAAGGAAGTAATGATTGAAATGTAAGTATAAGATAGGCAACCTTTGGAAAAAGAAGGAAAAATGTCCTACTCAGATGTAATACTACAATGTGTTATCCACAAGACAGGTTCATATTATGTATGAAAACGTAAGCACATTCTGTTGAGTTGATTAATGTCTTAAGGTACATTCCCATTTGTGTGTTTTTCAGGTGAGCCTAAACACTGTCAAAAATCAGAAGATATAATAAAAGCCACTGAACAAAAACATGCTGTGATACACAACTAGATTTGCTACTTCTTAAAGGCTTCTGACATTTTAGTCATGAGAGGTAATTTTACCATTTTTACCATGTCATAATTCTGTAAGTTTTGGTTGTAAGCATTGCAGGGGGATATTAATTGATTTGTAGTATTAGAAAAATTATTTCCAGTGGCATTTTAAAAAAAACATAGAAACATTTCTGTTACTTGTAGGTTTTTTTACTAATTTGTGGGGCCAACTGACGCTACAGCATCTCCTTAAGAAGTGGGACAGAGTAGAAGAGGGAAAGACTGATTAAAACCGTACCTTAAGTTTCTTTGAATTCTTCTCTTTTCCAGGCTAAATAATCTATCTGAAATGTATCACTATAAGAATTGTAAATACTTGAAGTTTCATGGTAGAGCATATGTCACATCATGTATTTTCATTTTAATTCTGTTTGCAGGAAAAACAGAACAGCACTACAAGTTCCTAATTCAGCTTTCTGTGAGGCTATCATCTCCTCTATGTACTCGTTCTCGGACCATGCCATTTTTATGGACAACCATTGGACAAAATAATGATAGTTAAAAACCATAAAATCCTGAGCTGGTAACTCGAGGCACTTAATAACTCTCAAGGTTTCAGATGCATTTGTAACTGGTTTATTTCCTCTTCTATTTTGCCTTCTTAAACCTAGCCAGAGTACTTTTTCAGCCAAAACTTGGACTTCATTTTATTTGCATCACTGAAACCAGTCGTTGCCAAATGAGCATGAGATACGTGTTAATATATAAGGCACTTATCATTTGCACTGGTTTGCTGTAAAACTGCTGGTAACCTTGATCTACATCCAACGGAAATGGAAAGCCAAACTGAAACTGGCACAGACAATTGTTTATGCATTCACACTGCAAAATGATATTTAAGTCCCACTTGTCAGATTTCTTAAAATCTTTGGAAACAAATTAGAATGTAGACTGTACAGAGAAATGTTAGTGTTGTACTAAGCAGCCCATGTGAACAATCCATGTATCCTGATGCTGTGGCTGCAATTTGGAGAAAACTTGGTGTTTAATGAAACCAGCCTTTGAAATATCGATTGAAAACCTGTTAAATAATTGTCAATGCTAAGATCAAAATGTTCTAATACCATGTCCTATGGTGTTCAGTAAGACCTTGGCAGTGAAGTCATGCCTGCCATGGAGTTAGGTGTATATTGTTCGAGATCAGGGCAGAGGAAATAGATACAAGAATGTTCAAGTGACACTTTGGCTTCACTTAAGCAAAACCATGTATAAATAGTCTGCAGATGGTATTGTAGCCCCTTAGACTGAGCAGGAAGGGAAAATTTGGGGCCTTGTGGGTGATTCTGTTCATATGAAAACTCGGTGACATGGAGTCAGGATAATCCATGCTGTATTTGGTTTATTTACATAAATATTCACACAATCCTGTTTCCCCGAGCAGCAGTAGAAACGTATAGCAATCAGGCAGTTAGTTTCCAGCCAGCACAGTGCCCAAGGAGTGGCTCCCTCCCTGCCTCAGCTTCCTTCCAGGGTCACACATGACTACTTCTCCTGGCTCACTCCCGCTAACCCACATAGCCTGCAATCAACTGCTCACCCCGGCATCTGGAATCTAAAGGGAAACCCTGTAGCTCCCACTGCCCTCTGGGTTGCATGTTCTGACCAGGTGGCTTAGGCCATTAAACTTACAATACTCCTTTAACAGGCCTTTGGGTGGTGACCTCCTTGACCAACAACCCTTCATAAGCAGCCAATAGCCCCTTTCACAACATTATTCAGTGGGTGTGAAATTCACTCCTGTTTAGATGACCAAAATAAGACCTGTGCTGTTTATTTTGGGATCCTAAATGGGACTAAAGTGGAGCATAGGCCTCATACTGGTCCTCAGCATGGGTGAATTTCACCCAGGTTGAATAAGGACTAATGCAATAATCACAATTATGTCGATTCTCACTTATGTGTCTATATTTGTTGACTCTGCCTCTTTTTTGGCCTGCACACACCTGGGCAATTGTGATTGAACTGGGTATATTTCAAACTCTCGATATTGGGGTTAAAGGACTACCAAAAGGCGGAACTCATGTCATTCAACACATAAGCCATATATTCACTATGCATATTTAGTGTGCATAGTTTTAATTTAAGAAATATTTGTGCATAGAGGGTGTAAAAAGTGCATTTAAAATGTTTTTGAATCTGGTCCAGAGCTTGTATATAGCATGGACTTTCTGTACAGTGCAAATAACAAATGAAATGTTAACATGAAATTGTATTATATACATTATAACATAACTGTTTTTTTGCGGGGTGGGGGTGTTTTTTTGTTTTTTGTTTTTGCTGAGTTAAGGATTTATATATACTCTGCTAGAGTTTGGGCAGATCATTAGTTACCTGGATCACTCAATTGTACCGCCTCATTCTTTCATTGAATGGTTTTCACCTCCTCTTATAATATACTATAAATAATCTGATGGTTCCGTAGAGCCATTCTGACAACGGAAAAGACAGTATGGTCATATCAGAAGTAATTTTGTAGATTCTGAGCCGACTAGGTACTGTGGCAAAGCTTCCTTTGAATTCAATGAAGATTTGCCTCAGTAAGAGTGGAGTCAGAACTTTGGGATTTTTGCCGTGTGGAAAAACAGGGGGCTAGATTTTTCAGATGTGCTGAGCATCCGCAGCTCACACTGAAGTTGGTAGGAGCTGCAGATGCTTGGCATCTTTGCAAATGAAGTCAATGAAATCTTAGTGTTACGAGAGAGTACCAGTGTTTTCCAAACGTGCTGTTCATGATTCACAGAGACTAAAAGCTTTGCACAAATGCATGAAAAGTTTGACCCACACATTTCAACGTTTGCCTTTTTTCAGAATTAATTTGACCTCTCTGCTATATCTATTTGCAGTAGTGATTTACACACAGCAGACATTTGTTACTGAAAATGTATTTACCAGAAGAATTCACTCCAGAATCTGCAAGGCACTGTGTGCCTTGTGTGAGGTGTTCAGCACGCTCCACTCATATTGAGCAACCGCAACTCCTTGGCTGGGAGGTAAGCGAGCTATACACCTCATAGGAGGTATTTGGCACCTTCCATGACTGGATCATTAATCTGCAAATGTGTCTTCTGTATAAATAACCTGACTTGCCAGTTTGTATTAAATTTTTAAGCACTGTGATGGACTGCATTGAAATAGTGAAGAAGGATACACCATTTTCTCAAGTATGTCTTCTAATTAACATCAGTTAAGTTTCTTTCTTTCTTTGCAGTAAGATTGTGCCAGTGTTTGACCCACATCCTGGGTTATCTATAGAGGTGAAATTTACCTCACTGGAGAGAACCAACTTGAGACCTATGCGCCAACTGATTCAAAATATAGCATAAGGGGGACTTAAATGGTGTATAGACCTTGTGCTGAGGCCTCTGTAGGAGGATGAATTTCCCCCTTAAACATTTGAGGATGCACTAACACACTATTGCTTGGGGCCATAAGGAATGGGGTTTGTGTATGCATCTCCCCATGAGCATTAGGGCAGTGTTTCTCAACTGGTGTGCTGTCAGGCCTGAACAGGTGTGCCACAGAATTTTTTGAAAAACTCCATGTAAGAACAAAAAACCTTCCCATGTATTTTAATTAGCGTCAGAGCTGGATCGCATTCTGTAAGTTTGCTGTCTGGGAAAAAGCTCCTTTCAAATATTATGCATGTGTCACATTCCATTCCCCAAAGCGAGGTTAAGATAGCAAATTTGACTCTTGTGGAGGGGTAGCGGAGGAGGGAGAAAGAAAGGGGGAAGCCACCTTCTCATTGGCCATCTGCCTCACTGCCCTGCCTCCTCCAGAGGCAAAGCAACCAATCAGAGCTCAATCTCCCTCCCTCCTCCCCACCTGGGAGCAACGGGTCAGCTCCTCTGTCCCTCCCACTCCTTACTGCAGCCGCTGGCTGAGTGTGGGGGGAAGGGCCCCTGGAGCCACCCACCCCAGTTTGCAAGTGGAGTGTGAACCCTGCTGCAGCACTCCAGGGTTGGAAGGGGGGAAGAACACCAGGAGGAGCAGAGATGGGGGGCTGAACTGGGGGGTGGGGTTGGGGGAGCTGGGGGGGCATAACTGTTGGGGTGGAGGATCTGGCGGGCGGGGCTGGGTGGGGGATCTGGGAAGGCAGAATTGGTGTGAGGTGGGGGCTGGGGAGATGGGGAGCAGAACTGGTGGGGCCTGGGTGGGGGTGGGGCAGAACTGGGGTCTTGCTGGTGTGAGTCAACTGAAAATACTTGTCACAGTCTGTGCAATACTGTTAATGATGTTAGATTCTAGCATCATTAACTGTATTGTACAGACTGTAAATGGCAAGGGTGGTAAACTGCTTAAACCGAGGGGATAAGAGGGTGAGTTCATTTGGAGACAATATGGTGGTGTGCCTCAAAATAACAAGGTATCAAGATGTGCCGCAGCAGAGAAAAGGTTGGAACCACTGCACTATGGAAATGCACTCCCAGAGCACCATAGATAGGCATAGTCCTCAAAAGTTTCATTTTGTATTTTTATCTGGAATTATCTGACGAATATATCCTGTAATATAGTTATGGATTATGATTTAGCCAGTATTTTTATTTAATTCTCAACCTACAACTCTTGTGTTTTTATTCTGCTGTACGTGTCTGTATTTCCTATGATAATATTGCTAAATAAATCATATTTGAGGGCAAGGATTGTGAAACATTTGAGTATCAATACAATTTTGCTTTACTGAAGCATGTTTGATCATTTGCATATGGATTGTCTTTGGAAAAAATGACACAGCATAAATGGATTTTACCAAATCCTTCTCCCTTTTGTGACTCTGCACTTTTTTCATGCCGCCTCCTATTTGCCAAGCAATTTTGCTCTCCTCGAGGCCATCTTGAAATTAAGTTTTTTTAGCTGGCCTGCCACAGTTAACCTTTGCATTTATGTTCAGACTTGGGCTTGTCCCCCTAAATATTACTCACATTAAGGAAAACATAACCAGCTAAACATGGGATCTTGCAAACCCTGACCAAGGTGATTGGTTCCATAGAAGTCAATGGGGCTATTAGGGTGAGTAAGGGTTTGCAAGATTGCACCCACATCTGGAGCAAAGGGCTTAATCCAAAGCCTATTGAAGTAGATGGAAAGTCTCTCATTGACTGCTATGGACTATAGATCAGAATACCTGGTTCCCATCCAACTCCCATTGAAATCAATATGAAATTTACAAGGGGAGATAAACAAAATCAACAGATTTTCTCTATTATATCCCATCCCTCTTTATTTGTCTGGACTATGTCTACTTTAGACTGTGAGCTCCACAGGGCAGGTTTCTTGTCTTTTTGTAAGGTTGTAAAATGCCATGCAAGGCACTATAGAAATAATAAATAATTTAAAATAAACAATGATATTCAAGACTTCAGTGGTAAGGGTTTAACAATAGATATTTAGTCGTGTATTTTAATTGAATATTGGTGTGTAGTGATAGCCAATGACAGCAAGAGAGAGAATTAAATACAAAACAAATGTTCAACTGCAACTTTCAAGTAAAATCACAGTATGTAAGTGTCCTATCTAATTCTTTTTCTGAGGGTCCTTATAGCTAATGTGCCATTTGGTATTTAATTAATATTATCAGATGGAACCCATGCAACAGTGTTAAGCCAAAATCTGTTTTCACTTCTGTGGGTGTAAATCCTGTAGAATTCCATAGACACCAAAAGGGTAAGTCAGGATTTGGATTTACACTGATTTAGCTGAGGGCAAAATTTGACTTGTCATGTTTTACACTGGGATTTTCAAATGCACCTAAAGGATTTAGGCATCCGACTCCCACTGACTTTGAACTCCCATTGACTTTTAAAAATCACATCCTTAGAAAACCAAGCTAAGTAAAATATTGACCTCTGATGGAATGTGGTGGCTTTAATTTATTTTTAAGTAAAACAACATTTTAAAAATGTATAGCTGCTTTATATAAGCTGCATTATGGGAAAAATATTTGGGACATTTCATTTCTCTGGGATTTGATTTAACTTTCCTGCTCATTTATTTATTTAGCAGGGCTCAAAACAACATTGTAAAGGTGCTTTTCTCATGCCTAAGTGTGCTGAATCTGGTATGAGTGAAGAGTTGTAATTACTTAGGCTCTGACCCTACAAAATCTTTCACATGTGAGTCATCTTACATCCTACTGAGGTCAATCAAACTATTCATGTTCATAAAGTTAAATATGTGTGTAAATCATTGCAGGACCGGCACCTTAGTCATTTTAGGCTGAACACCCTTGCAAAAAAGTTCTGATTTTGATTAGGCAGCTACTTTGGTTATAGTATCTTTATTCCAATGAAACTGATGCTGCCATCAGAAGAGCTTGGCCAACACTACAGCCCTCCAACAGAGATCAAATAGCCCACATTTTAGTTCATTACCACCTGTCATTTACTCAAGTGATGTAATTAACTAATTAATATTCAAGTGATGCATAAAGACTGACAAAACGGAAAGAAAACATAAAGGGGTTGGAAAAACAGGAGATGCTGATAAAGCTGCTTTTGTCTTTTAAATATCACTTGTGCTCTTGATCCCTAGAGGAATGATAGATCTGACCCAGCATTGCTGGTCTTATGGGCTAACAAAATGTTTTGATTTTTTTTTTT